CTTTTGTATTTGTTTAAGCATGCTCTAAGTATGTGGTCTATTTTGGAGAATGTTCTATGTGCTACTGAAAAGAATAGGTATTCTCTTGTTAGATGGAACATTGTAGATATCCATTAAGTCCATTTATGCAAAGATGTGGTTCAATTCTGACATGTCTTTGTTGATATTTTGTCTAGCTGATCTATTGTGATAGTGGGGTATTGAGCCCCCTCCGCCATAATTGTGTTGATGTTTATCTGATCTTTTATTTCCAGTAATGTCTGTTTTATGAATTTGAATGTGGTGGTGTTTAGTGGATATATATTTATAATTGCTATCTCTTCCTGTTGAATTGTTCCTTTCATTATGTAGTAATCTTCTTTGCCTCTTCTGATCAATTTTGGCTTGAAGTCCATTTTATCTCAAATTAGGATAGCTATTCCTGCTTGATTCCAAGCTCCTGTTGCATAGACTGTTGTTTTCCATCCTTTAGGTTTTAATCTATGAATTTCTTTTTGGGTTAAATGTGTTTTGTTTTGTTTTTTGTACCAGGGGTCAAACTTGGGGCCTTGCATTTGCACTTGCCAGGCAGGGGCTGTGCCACTCAGGTAAATTCCTGGCATGTATTTCTTCCATACAGCATATTGTTGGTTTTGTGTGTTTTGTTTTGTTTTGAGACAGGGTCTTGCTCTGTAGTTCATGCTGGCCTTGAATTCACTATGTCACCGAGCTTGGCCTTGGCCTTGAACTTTTGGCAGTCCTCCTGCCTCAGCCTCCTAAGTGCTGGGATTACAGGTTTGCACCACCACATTTGGTTGGGTTTTGTGTTTTGATCCAACATGCCAATCCATGTCTTTTGACTGGGGAGTTGAGACCATTCACATTGAGAATCACTGCTGAAAGTTATTGACTTATTCCTGGTGTCGCATTATTTTCCTTTTGCTGAGTCTTTGTTTTTCCCCCTTCTGCTTAATTACTCACACTGCTTTGCATATTCATTCCTTTAGACATTTTGACATCGTGGCGTAATTGTCTAGGATATCCTTGAGAATTTTTTGGAGTGCTGGTTTAGTGGTCATGAATTTCCTAAGGTGCTCTTTGTCATAGAAAGACCTTATTTCTCTATCAGTTTGAAAAATAGTTTTGCAGGATATATCACTTTGGGTAGGAAGTTGTTTTCTGTTAGGGCTTGAAACACTTCACTCCAGTCTCACCTGGCCTTAAAGGTTTGTGTTGAGAATTCTGCTATAATTCTAATGGTTTATTTTATAAGTGATTTGTTGCTTTTCTCTAATAGCTTTGAAGCTTTGAAACACAAGCTTTGTCTTGTGTTGGACTTCTGGAAGTTTGACTGTGATGTGTTGTGGAGAAGTTCCTTTATGATTATGCTATTTGGGGTTTAAATACCTTACTTATCTGTATGTTAAATTCTTTTCTCAAATTTGGAAAGTTTTCTGCTATTGTTTTTGTAAACAGTTGTTTTATGCTTTGTGCTGTCTTCTGATTCTTCACTAATTGCAGTTAATCTTAGATTAGTCATTTTTGTGTCATCTAGCCGCTGTTGAATCCATTTTCCACGTTCTATTGATTTCAAGGTCTCTCTGAGTATGTGGTTACCTGCCTCAGCCTTACCTTCTAGTTCTCATACTGTCCTCACATTGGTCACTTCTGCTGCCCATATTTCAAAAGAATTTTTTTTTATCTCCTGGATTTTTTGTAGTCCCTTTTTATGGACACTAATTCTTTGCTAAATTGCTCATTCATGTTTTGTATCATTTTGCTTACCTCAGCTGGCTCTTTATTAGTGTCTTCTGTAAGCTTACTGATTGTTTCATTAAGTCTGTTATCTGTTTAGTTATGTTTGAGCTTGCAGAACTCCTTATGACCTGTTTTATATTTCCTGGTTTATCATTTTATGTAATTCAGCTGTTTGGCTTTTGATTTTCCCCCCATTGATGCCTCATGGATCACCTTTGGATGAGTTGGGAATTTTGGGAGGCATTTTGTTGGTTTGTGTTCTCATATATCTTTTCTTTTTTTTCTTATTTTTATGTGTGTGTGTGCCTGAGGTTTGTAGGTGGATTATAGTGGAAAAACCTTTATTGCTAGTATGGACATGTCTTTAGTTAGTGTCTGCTTTCCAGTGATGCGCTTTGGGTGTGGCTATTTGTCTTTGCCTTTGTTCCAAGATCTGACCCTCTCTGTTAATTTAGGGAGGGTACAGTGCAGTGTAATTGGCCCAGCACCTAGTTCTCCAGAAATGAAGCACAGTATGGTTGATGACACAAAAACAAACCAGACATTGGCATATAGTCAAAAACAATTAACAGCAAAAACTATGAAATCCTGGCAGAAGACAAAATCAACACAATAATAGAGTCAAAGACAAATTGAATATTGACATACAATAAGAACCAATAAAAGTTACTAGTGTACTACACACTAGAACAATAGAAATAGAAATCTGTAATTATAGAGAGAAAGACAAACCAAATATTGACATACAGTAAATATCTCCTAAATGGAACTTATACCACCATTAACAATAGAAACAAATTCAACAATAATAGCATAGGATCAACTAAATATCTAAAGATTTATAAAGCTTAATTATAATACCAGTAAAGGTGGAACAGATGGGTAAGAGGAAAATGAAAAAAGTAAAATTTGAAAAATGAGGATGAGGGGCTTTGGATTTAGCTCAGTGGTTCCGCCGCCTGCCTTGCAAGTGCAAGGTCCTGAGTTTGATCCCCAGTATTACAAAAAAGAAAAAAAAATGAAGATGAGAAGGAGAGAAAAGTGAGATAAAAGATCTTATTGAGGAGTAAAAAGCAAATTAATAGAATTAGATAAAAGTAACAAAAGAACAAACAAAAGAAAACAGAGAAAAAGAAAAAGAAAGAAAATACACACAACCCTCAAACCTCAAAAAACCAAGAAGGAAAAAATAAATGTGTCCAAAGAAAATTCGTCTGTGTTTTTGAATGAGTGTTTTTTCCCCAGGGTCTGCGGTATTGAAAATCCACCAGACATGGGTAAGGTAGTACAGATAGAACATTGTGCCTCAGGAGACCATTCCCCTCCACCCATTTGAGTTTGAGTAGTACCCTGGGGCCATTCTTCTTCAATCTCTTCCCTCTACCCACTTGAACCTCCATGGCACCCTAGGGCCATTCCTCCTTAATCATTCCCCTCCACTCACTTGAGCTTGGGCAGCACCCTAGGACCACTCCTATGTAACCCATACCAAAGCACGTGAGGCCCTCTTTGGGCCCTTTTTCCTGTCTTGTCCTGGCACAATTTTTCTGTTTGTGATCTTCTTGTTCATGATTTTCCTGTTCGTACTTTTTTTTCTGGGTATAAGCTTTGCACTTCTTTGCTTCTGTACACAAGAGCTTAGACTCTACCTGGTGGATCCACCACATGGTTACATTGGGATCTTGAGTCACTACTAAGGCCAGTAGTTTCTAGTTTTCCTGTCAGCTCCCTCCCAATTCCTGGAGATCTACTTCTTGTTTTCTTCACCAACTTGTTTTCCAAGTCTCTCTATTCCAGGTCCTGGAGAGGCTGTATTTTGCTTCCAGTCTGTATCATTTTTCATCCTCCTCTGGGTAGGATTTTAAGGCACATTTATATTTTGTTAGAGACAGGGATGATATATTAATTCAATCATTAAATATAATGAGAGCCTATCATGTTTCAATCTCTGTACTATGTTCAGATGTAGCTCTGAACAAAATGGATAAAGGCCCTTCCATCTTGGAACTTATCTTCCAGTGGTAGAGACAGACAATAGGCAGTTAAGGAATAGGCCACATAACTTCAAATGATTGGTACTATGAAGAAAAATAGAAATATGATTTAACGGTGGAGGAAGGGTTAAAAAGATTATTTTGAGTTGGGTGGTTAGGAAGAGCCTCTCTGAGAAGTTGGTATTTGAGTTGAGATCTCAATGATGATGAGGAATCATGTAGATGTCTGGCTAAGTGTTGAGGCATAAGGAGAAGCCTATGTGAGGCCTCAACTTGGAACTGAGCTTTATGAGTTTGAGGAAGCTGTTGCAGTAGTCCAGGCAAATAGTGGAGCTGATTTAGTCTGGGATGATCATAGTGGAATGGAGACCAGTGAATGAATTTAGGATGTTGTTTGTAGGTACTTGATGAAACTTGATGTGATTAGACTATATGTTTTGCTGGTATTTGGTTTCAGGAAAGAATAGTCTTGCTTGGTATCACAAGACTCAGAGGCATTTAAAAGAGGAAAGAAAACATTTACTTGTGAAAAATGCAAGAAAGCTAAAGTTGACCCGAGGGAGGAAAAAACCCAAGAAAACCCACAACAAGCATTTAAAGAAACAAGACTGCAATAATACCAAGGTGACTGAGTTCAAATTGGTCTGTTTGTGGTAGAAAACCATGCCTTTCTCATGTGTTTATCAGATTGGAAAGGTCGTGTTGTATTCTCATGCTTTATTTTTAAATATCAGCATGTGAAAAATCAGGGATTTTGGGCTAAGATGTCTTTTTTTGTTGTTTTGGCTAAGAAGTCTTTTTTTTTTTTTTTTGTCTATGCTAGAGATCAGACCCAGGGCCTCACTCATGCTTAGCAAGCATTCTCCTACTAAGCTTAGAAAGTCCAGTTTAAGGATAAATTTCAAAGTTTTATTCTTTGGAGATTAGCACTAGATAGAGTGATCTTTGGTTTATCTCATGGTGCAAAGTATTTCCCTTTTCATGGTATATGAAGTGCTTAGTCATATTGGAAACTCTGCTGGAACTGGGAGTCAGAGTCGTCATCATAGTGCAGAAACTGGCATGGGACAACTTTGGACCATGAGAGTGGGCTGCTCTCCTTGTGATCTGTGGCATTTTGATAGACCTGTCCATCTATCTATTGTCCCATCCTAGGTGAGATAAGAAAATCAGTATTTCCTGGATCAGAGCTAGTATGGCTAGTCATTTTCAAATTTCCTTATCAAGTGGTTTCTCTCCTATTAATGATATCATTCTTCTACTTTCTAGGAATTGGTGGATCAGCTCTATTCATTTCGAGACTGCTATTTTGAGACACACAGTGTTGAGGATGCTGGGCGGAAGCAGCAGGATGTGCGGGAGGAGATGGAGAAGACCCTGCAGCAGATGGAGGAAGTATCGGGTATGAGCTCTAAAGACTGTGCACCTCCTGCCCTTTACTGAAAGGCGATAGAGTTTTGCTCCCTCTCTGTAGAGCGTTTGGTATCCTGTTTGTGGCTGCTGTAGGTTGAAAGAAAAGAGTATCTCTTCTAAGGGCCCCTGTGCAAGGTAGAACCTGTCATTCTTTAAACTACTTTTCCTAAAGCTTGATTGTAGCAAATGGTGTGAAATGAAAGAGTGTACTTGTTGATTGCAGTGTTGAGGTGATCTTCTTAACTGATCTTTCTGCCTTTTGGTTTGGGTTTTTTTTTTTTTTGGTACCAGGGATCGAACTCGAGACCTTGCGCTTGCAAGGCGGGCGCTGGAACCACTGAGCTAAATCCCCAGCCCTCTTTCTTGCTTTTTACTTCCAATTCAGTTTACCATGGTTGTGATTATCTTTCTACGTCATTACTTCTTGCATTTAATCTTACCTCTTGTCTGCCTTTTTGCTCGTCTCTCTTGTCTCATTCTTTTTCTGACATCATCTCTGACTACTTGTTTATTAAGGAACATTTCCTTTCATTCAAGTTGGACTGCTCAGTCTCCCATGAACCTGCCACATGTATTTCTGCTTTTTTGTTTATATCATTTTCTAACCTGGAGAATCTTGTGTTTTTTTCTTCTTGACTTTTTACCCATTTGTTGTGTGTATGCCATATTTTTTTCATTGTTGTTTAATTTTCTATATAGTGCTTTGTCTTCACCAAGTTGTAAGCCTCTGCAGGGTGGAAACCTTGCTTTATTACCCAGTTATCTAACACAATATTTTCAACATAATAGAATTATGTAAATAGTATGTTTATAACAATTTTCCTCAACTGTTTTTCTTCCCATAGCTGGAATGAGGTACCTTCTAGAGAGAATGTTCCTTGGTTTTTCAGTGCTTGGGCTTTTCCACTTCTCTTTACCTTTTTCCTTTCTTCCTAGGTTCTGTCCAGGGCAAGGCACAGACTCTAATGCTAACAGGGAAGGCATTAAATGTGACTCCTGAGTATAGCTCTAAGGCTGAGGAGCTTCTGTCGAAGGCTGTGAAGCTGGAGCCTGAGCTGGTGGAAGCTTGGAACCAGCTGGGTGAGGTCTACTGGAAGAAAGAGGATGTTGCAGCTGCCCACACCTGCTTCTCAGGAGCCCTCACCCATGTGAGCCGCCCACCATCCCCTCGGAAAACATTCAGGAAGGATGGAATCCCTTTGGTTTTCTGCATTTCACTAGGACAAGAATACCAATCAAATCTGATCTTGAATTAGGAGAACAGAATGAGAACGGAGGAAGGTTGGTGAGGAAATTAGGGATAGGGCACTGAAAAAGGAGAGCCATAATGAGATTAGGTTCAGGGGTAGATGAGAAGTGAAGAAAAATTAGTGACCAAGATGATCTTGGTATATGGGCATCAAAGCAGCAAATGGCAACAAGAACTAAGACCAAAAACTTGATTTGGGAAAAGGTTGATGTCAGAGTAGATTGGGAAAGGGGAGGTAGAAGCAGGGAGGTTGAGTATGTGCCATTTCCCTTTGTAGTGCAAGAACAAAGTCTCCCTACAAAACCTGTCAATGGTGCTTCGCCAGCTGCGGACCGACAATGGAGATGAACATTCTCGCCATGTCATGGACAGCGTCCAACAAGCTAAGTTAGCTGTGCAGATGGATGTCCTGGATGGCCGCTCCTGGTGTGAGTGCTCTCAAGAGATTGGTAACACGTTTCTAAAGTAGTGGCTCATACTACAGTCATCTGGTGTCCATCTATTGATCTGACTGAGGGTGAAGCTAGGGTATCTTTGTTTTAAAGAACTATTTTGATGAACCACTATTCTTGGAGCTCTTGGATCTTTTGATCCAAGAGAGGAGATATATGTTTCCATATAAGTAAGGCAGAGCTTTTGTAAGGTTGTTCAAGTTTGATTTGGGTGGGTGAGCATCCATGTTTATCTGTTTATCCTAGTTCATTTTTTGATATAGTGTCATTCCTGGATTGCAGAACTGGAGCCTCTCTAATAGACTTTGAAGGATGATTAGAATAGGAGAGATCTTAGCTTTGGGCTCTGCAATGATCCACCATTGTTTCTCTTTCAGATATCCTGGGGAATGCATACCTTTCTCTTTACTTCAATACTGGCCAGAACCCTAAGATCTCCCAGCAAGCCCTCAGTGCCTATGCCCGAGCAGTGAGTACTTGTGGTCACCCAGGCCAGATGACTAGAGGCAGAAACAAGCAAGACCATTGAAGTCTTTCTTGTGGTCCTTTAGCAAGTAGCAGAGGCAGCATTTGCTAACACCCAATGTGTGTGGTTTTGCAAAGCTGTGTCTGTAGAGGTGGCTTGTTTCTTCTTATAACTTGAGTGTTAGGAATTACAGTACTCACAGTGTGATACCTTGGTGCCAGGTAACTCCTTGAACTGTGTAGGTAGTCACAGAGCCCATCTCAACATGTTCATCTTTGTTTTCTTTCTTTCTTTTTTTTTTTTTGAGACTGGAGTCTTGATTTGTAATCAGTCTAGCCTTGAATTTGTGTTCCTCCTGCCTCAGCATCTCAAGTGCTGGATTATAGACATGTACCTCTTGCCTGGCAATATCCATCTTTTTTTAGTGGGGAAAAAAGCCTATTAAAATAATGCTCATTAGTATCTGTTTATGTTCATTTTAAAGGAAAATGAAAACTGACACTTAAAAGTACTATCCCCAGATTAATTAAAAATACAGGTCTGGATTGCCCACAGGTGAAAAGAGAAAACAATACAGAGGCTGTTCTGCATCATTTCTTGGAATTAATTCACTGGAGCTCGTGTTTTGCTTAGTTGTTCAGGCCATTTTTGTATCAGTAGTTAGTTGGATGGGGGTTTCCTTCAGGCTTTGAGTGCCTGATTACCTATTAGTAGGAGTTTGACAGTGGTCTGATAAGCACTTATTTATCCCTCAGATTCGTCTTTCTTTTGTTTTCACGCTTTCTTTGATATAGAGAATTGCTTTTTAATTTAACCATTACTTATTTTTATCTATGTGGTGGAATAAAGAAAGCTACCATGTATTCATTTTTGCAGTTCAAGGACTCCTTTTTCTGTCAGAACTTTTAGATAGAGGAACTATATTTTACTCTAATTTATTAATTTTGTGAATGTTTACATTTTAAAGAATTTGTAATATATTCCTTCAGATTTTTTATTTGGCTTCTACCAAATAGTTGCTCTTAACTCTTAGTATGTTCACCCAAATTTCCATTTTTAAATATATCTGAACCAATGATTTAAACAATTTTAATTCATATTGTTTGTGGTTTTGCAGTGTGCCAAGCAGTGAACAAAATTTTAAGAATGAACATGGCAGTTTCTTCCTAGTACCTTTGTCTGGACTGTCCTTTGCTTTCTGGTCATCTGTTTTTTAGAGAATCAGAGTTTGACTTCATGCATGTTTTCAGGGGACTTGGCTATAGAAACATAATTCTGCAAGTGTCTGGAGCCAGGCTTGTCGACAGAGAAAATGCACTGAATTGACACTGTTTCTGTCCTAGGCTTTCCTCATTTATAGCAGTATATCACAACTGGAAAAAAATTATCAGAATGCTTTCACATATTTCTTCATACTCTATATAATACTGCATGGATTAATTATAACCATATTTTTGCTTCACATGTACAGACACCTTTACATTCCTGAGGCTTCAGAGACTGACTAAATATCAGATTTGCATGTGGTTATTGTAAAAGAGTATGAGTGTAGATAGCATTTTCACAAGGAAGAAACTCAAGTTTTTATAGTGAGAGAAGTCTAGGACATGTTGGGCATGTCCATCCTTCATATTGAAGCAGGATCCACTGATGATCTTTTTTCTCATTCCAGGAGAAAGTCGACAGGAAAGCTTCCAGCAATCCTGACCTTCATCTGAACAGGGCAACGGTAAGACCCATCTGAAAGTCAAGTAAAAAACACACCTAGGTCTTAGCCTGTAAGGATAACTGAGTATACAGGGGACAAAGTTGGGTACAAACTGAGAAGAAAGTCAAATTATTTCTAAGAAGAATTGTTTCAACTTGACTTCAGTTTCTGGTGGAGTCATTAGAGGAAAGGAGAAGCGGGGTGAGGAGAGTGCACAGAAAAGGAAGGGATGGTTTAGAAGTCTTCTGGAGTATTAAGTACAAATGTAAAAACAGAGTGACCCAATATCTACAACTTAACTATTTTAGAGTTTGGAAATTAGCTTCCATCTTGTCACCGTCTTGGCCAGGAAGAAGAATATTTATGTTAGAAGAGGAAGATAATCTATTTCCCTGGGATTGTATCCCATTATGTCATTATTCCCTCTGCATAGTTTACTGAGATGTACTTACCACTGGGAGGTTTTGGGTTACTTTTTGCACAGCTACATAAATATGAAGAGAGTTATGGGGAGGCCCTGGAGGGCTTCTCTCGGGCTGCAGCACTGGACCCTGCCTGGCTGGAGCCCCAGCAACGAGAGCAACAACTCCTGGAATTCCTCAGTAAACTAACCAGTCTCCTGGAGAGCAAGGTAAAGATGTGTCAGTGCAGAAGCCTACTCTTTAATTCTGCTGTGGGTCAATAAAATAAGAAAAGAATAAGCTTAGATAGTGGTGACCCACAGAAGTGGGTGGGTGGGAGGGAAGGACTAGACTGTCAAAGAGGACAGTACAGTGTCCAGCTTAACCTATTGGTCCTCCCTTTGCAGGGAAAGATGAAGGCCAAAAAACTGCAGAGCATGTTGGGAAGCTTGCGTCCAGCCCATCTTGGCCCTTGTGGTGATGGGCGCTATCAGTCGGCCTCGGGGCAGAAGGTGACCCTGGAGCTCAAGACCCTGAGTGCCTTGCAGCCTGGTGTGAACAGTGGTGCTGTGGTCCTGGGAAAGGTGGTGTTTAGCCTAACCACAGAAGAGAAAGTCCCCTTGTGAGTTTCCTTCAGCTCTCTTCTTTTTCTTCTTCTGGTCTGATTGCTCTCACTTCCTGATCTTTCTCTGGCAGTTGAAGGCATTGTGAGTAGTCTCAGATTAGTGACTTCTTCCCTTCTGTGAGCAAGTATTATCTCTAGGTGATGCCTAACAGTCTCTCTACAACCTGTGTAGATTCAGTCAGTTTTTTTTTCCTTTTTTTTTTTCCCCCGGGGCCACTGCTTTATGGATTCCTACCAGGACATATTTTGTTATAAGATACAGAAATCTTAAAATTCTCCTACCCCTTTGAGTTTTTTTTTATTGGTACATTTTAGATATACATAATAATAACATTCATCAAAGAGAATTTGTACCTGTACATGATATATCTTGCTTCTTTTCTTCCCATTTCCCTCCCTTCCTTCAGCCCCTCTTCTCCTCCTTATTTACAAATGTGTTTCCATTTTTTTCTTCTGTTTTCTTTTTTTTTTCTTGTCTCTTCCTTTTTTCCCTTTCCTCCCTCCATAGTTCCTCTTCTCATTTGAACATTTTCTCACCATTTCCCAGTATCTGTTGTACATTTTGGTCCTTATTTACACTTGTGGTTTCTCACAACAGAGAAACAATGGCATATTTAAAAATGTGTGTCAGATTTATATCACTTAAGAGTATGGTCTCATAGTGCATGGATTTAGCTAGAAATGTCTCAAGCTTTTCCCTTTTTATGGCAGAGTAGTACTCCATTGTATAAAAAATTCACATCTTCTTTATCCATTCATTGGATTATGGGCATTTGGCTATTATAAACTGTGCTCCTATAAACATGGGTGTGCATATATAGCTGTGGTATAATGCTTTTAATTTTTTTTTTTTTGGTACCAGGGATTGAACTCAGGACCTTGTGCTTATGAAGCAGGTGGTGGCACCACTGAGCTAAATCCCTGGCCTAATGCTTTTATTTCTTTTGGGAAGATATCCAGAAGGGGAATAGTTGAGTCAAATGGGACCTCTAATCCTAGTTTTTTGTGTTGTTTTTTTAATGGTGGCTCTAATCGTAGTTTTTTGAGGAATTTTCACAGTGGTTGCACCAGTTTACATTCCACCAACAGTGGAGAAGTGTTCCTTTTTCTCCACAGCCCCGGCAGCATTTGTTATTGACTTCTTGTTAATAGCCATCCTTTCTGGAGTGAGATGGAATCTCAGCATTGTTTTAATTTGCATCTCTCACAGCCAGGCCTTTGACATACGCCTGTAATCTCAGCACTTGGGGGCCTGAGGCAGGAGGATTGCCATGTTTTAGGCCAGCCTAGGGTACATAATGAGTTTAAGGCAAGCCTGAACTACATATAAGGTGCAGTCTCAAAAACAACCATTAATTTGCATCTCTCGAATAACCAGTGATGTTGAGCATTTTTTCATATATTTATTTGCCATTTCTACTTCTTCATCTGAAAAGTGTGTATTCATTTCAGATGGCCATTTTTGGACTGGGACTTTAAATTTGGGGGTGTCTAATTTTTTTGAGTTCTTTATATATTCTCGATATTAGTCCTTTGAGAAATAGCTGGCAAAAATTTTTCCACACTATGGGTTGTCTCTTCACTCTGTTGGTGGTTTCTTTTTTTTTTTTAACCTTCAAAATCAGCAGTTTAATAAGCTCTTCAGGCAATCTGTATGTCTGGGAGGTATCGTTCAGATAAGGAATATAGCTGGGATAGTTACTGGGGGAAAAATATAATCATTATTTTACATTTGGTCAGTTTGAGGTGTGGAGTATTCAAGGAAGCTGAGCCACAGCAGAGGAGTATATGGGTCTGGAGGCTAGAAACATGTCTGGTTTGAAGATGCAGTTTAGCATTTATCGACTTCTGGTATTTGAAGCCATGGTTTGACCCATTTCTTGGGATTTGCCCAGGCAAGGTGCATCCAGTTAATCAGGCAGAAGGCTCAGGATCGAGCCCTATGAAATATTATTACTTAACAGTCACATACAGCAAAATGTACTCCACATGAAATAGAAGGCACTTCCAGTGGTAGGAAGAAACAACGTGAGGAGTGGGAGGAGAGTTCCAACTGGCAGGACCCTCGATAGTCTCACTTTCCAGCAGAGGTCACATAAGAATAGACAAGTGTCCATTGGATTTGGTAATCCTGATGTCAGAGTAAAGCTAATGGGTGGAGATTAATTCCCATTAAGTTCTTTCTTGACCTTAGTGTGTGGGGATGCAATTTATAGATTCTGCTTTCAAAGTTCAGATGCGCAGAACATGTGGGAGGAGCTTTGTGTAGAGCCAGCTTGCAAATGTTCTTTCTTAAAGGCTGGCATGCTGAGCAAGGAATATTCTTATTCTTTGTAGGAGTTCCGTCTTTACACTGTCAGGCACCAGGGCTCTGCCTTTTAGAGTGATTTCAGCCACCAAGTCATCAACAGTAATGTGTTCTAGTCCTTTTTCTTTAATTACCTCTTTACAGTGTGCCTTCAACTGATCCTTCCAACCACATTCAATTAATTTAGCTCGCAGCAACTCTTTGAGGCGTTCTTTTTCCAGTTTCTGTTAACTTTTGGTTAATCGCTGCTCTCATCTGCGCATCTTTGTTCATCTTGCTAACCACCATCACCGCGGGTGAGGGCTATCCCTTCCCAGTGACAAAATGACCCTTGCGCTGGCGACTGTTACCTCCCACACTCTTTGGCTGTCCAGACTTAGACCCTCAGTAGCTCGGGCACCTAAGCACACAGAAAGCTAGAACCTGTTGGTCGTTTCTTTTGCTGTGCAAACACTTTTTAATAAGATGAGATCCCAGTTGTTGATTCTTTGTGATAGTTTCTGTGCATTTGAGGTTTTGTTTATAAAGTCTTTGGCTATACCAGTGTCTTCAAGAGTTCTACCTCTTCTCTCTTCCAGCAGATGTAGTGTTTCTGTTTTAATATTTATATCTGTGATCCATTTTGATTTTACTTTAGTGCACAGTGAAAGATATGGGTCTAGTTTTAATCTTTGGCATGTAGAAAGCCTGTTTTTTCCAGCACCATTTATTAAAGAGGCTATCTTTCTTCCAGTGAAAGTGGCACCTTTGTTGAAGATGCGGTGGCTAAGTGTGTTTGGAGTTGTTTCTGCATCTTCTAATCTGTTCCACTGATCCTCAGGTCTGTATTTTTACCAGTACCATGCTGTTTTTAATCACAGTAGCTCTGTAGTATAATTTCAAGTCAGGGATTGAGATACCCTCAGCCTTGCCTTTGTTGCCCAGAATTGCTTTTGCTATTCTAGGCCTTCTCTGGTTCAAAAAGAATTTTAGGATTGTTTTCTCTAATTCTGTGAGGTATGCTGTTGGTATTTTGATCAGGATTGTGTTAAATCTGTGTAAGAGTTTTGGAAGTATGGCCATTTTTACCATATCGGTTCTTCCTACTGAAGAACAAGGGATGTCTTTCTATTTTCTTTTCTTTTTTGGTACTGGGGATTGAACTCAGGACCTTGTGCTTGCACGGCAGGCACCGGAACCACTGAGCTAAATCCCCAGCCCTATCTTTTATTTTCTGATATCCTCTTTGATCTCCTTTCTCAGAGTACAATAGTTTTGAATGTAAAGGTATTTTACTTTGTTTGTTAGATTGACTCCTAGGTATTTCTTTTTTTTTTTTTTTTTTGGATGCTGTTGTAAAAGGTGTTGTTTCCCTAATTTCTCTCTCAGTGAATTTGTTATTTGTGTACAGAAATGCTATTGAGTTTTGACTGTTGACTTTATATCCAGCTACAGTATTAACTTTGATTATTACATCTAGAAGTCTTTTGGTGAAATTTTTGGGGTCTTCTATGTCGAGTATCATGTCATTCACAAATAATGATAATTTAACTTTTTCCTTTCCTATCTTATTCATTTTACTACTTTCTCTTGCCTAATTGCTCTGGTTAATGCTTACAGAACTATATTGAATAGGAGGGGTGAAGTGGACATCCTTGTCTTGTTCCTGATTTTAGAGTGAAAGCTTGCAGTTTTTGTCCATTTTGTATCATGTTGGCTGTTGATTTGTCATAGATGGCTTTTATCAGATTGAGATAAAGAGCATCTATTCCAATTTTCTGTAGAGTTTTTATCATGAACGAGTGTTGGACTTTGTCAAATGCTTTTTCTGCATCTATTGAGATACTCATATGTTTTTTGTCCTTGGCTTTCTTAATATGGTATATTACATTTATTGATGTGCATGTATTGAACCATCCCTGCATCCCTTGGGTGAATCCTACTTGGTCATGGTGTATAATCTTGATGATTTGTTGCATTTGGTTTGCGAATATCTTATTGAGGATTTTTGCAGGTATGTTTATTAGGGAGATTGGCCTGTGGGTTTCTTTTTTGGTTGGGTCCTTCTTTGGCTTTTGTATCAGGATAATGCTTGCTCAGGAATTTGGTAATGCTCAGGAATTTGGGAATATAGCTTCACTTTCAGTTTCATTAAAGAGTTTGAAACATAGTGGCATTAGGTCTTCTCTAAATTTTGTATAGAATACAGCAGTGAATCTGTCAGGGGCTGGGATTTTCTTTGTTGATAGGTTTTTTTTTTTGGTACTGGGGGTTGAACTCAGGTCATTGTGCTTGTGAGGCAGGCAGTGGAACCACTGAGCTAAATCCCTGGTCCTGTTGGTAGGTTTTTAATTACATATTTAATTTCATTGACTGATACTGGTTTATTTAGAATTTTTATATTTTCTTGATTCAGCTTTGTTAATTCATATATGTCTAGGAATCTTTCCATTTCTTCCATTTTCCATCTGGTTAGAGTATAGGTTCTTGAAGTAAGTATTGATGATCTTCTGGATTTCCACAGGATCTGTTGTGATTTTACCCTTTTCATTCTTAATTGCATGGATTTGAGTCTTTTCTTTCTTTTTTTTTTGATAAGGTTGGCTAAGGGTTTATCAATTTCATTTAATCTTTCAAAGAACCAATTCTTTGATTCATTGATTCTTTGTATTGTTTTGTTAGTCTCAACTGATCTTCCATTCTGATCTTT